CACGATAAAAACATCAGCATTGCTGGTGTGGTCGTAGATACAAAAATTACATGAAAAATAAGGAGTACTGAAAGCAAATGTACACTTAAAAATTAAAAACTGTTAAAAATGTTTGTAACCTATATTAATTTTGATAGAGCAAAGGTTATTTTTTCTGCCATTTGTGGAGATGATGGTGGCCTGTTTCACGTTCATTGATTTCTGTTGCAGTTTAGCATAACATCTCCACATGCAATTTCCTGTTATTTTGTTTATGTTACGGGTCAAATTTGATTTCAGGTTAATTTTGATTGAACCTAGATTGATTCTCAATTTCCTTTGTTTCCTAGCCCTGATTCATGAATAATTAGGGCTCGGAGACAAAGGAAATTGAGAATCAACCTAGGTTAAATCAAAATTAACCTGGAAACAAATTTGACCTGTAACATTTACATTAGCTTTGCTCCCATTGGATAGTATCTTGACACCTCAAAAGGGGCGAAACTCAAAAATCAATAGCCCCTGGGCAGGCTCACTTTTCCTCGCTGGATGGTGGCTCTGCTACCAAATTTTTTCCCCAAATTCACACAATTGAGCCTGCTCGCAGGTTATTGCAGGAGTAGCATGTAGTCAGGCAAATCAAAATATTATTGTCTATTCTGAGCATGCATGTGTGAATCCAATATGGCGTCTCAAAATGGTGCCCCTATTGACAAGAAACCAACTCATTACAGAGCCGCGTCCTTTGGAGATTGTTTAATCCCTGTCTAAGCTTTGAAATTATCATAAAAAGCCAAGGTGCATTTTGAGGTTTTAGCCTTTCGTACCACCTTAATAACATGCCTATGGCATAACTTCATTTCTTTCTTTCTGGATTTTGATCCCCTCTAACTCAGTATGTCCATTATCCTTGTCCTTGAGGTTTGTAGGGATGCTACCATCTGGATTACAGTTATATGTTCATTACCAAAGCAGGAAGTTTTAATAACTATGAAACCTGACAGTTTTTCTCATTTTGTTTAAATCACAGGGTCGTAAATGTGGGGATTATTGATAATTAGACAAGGATGAATTTTTTGAAACATATCCCTCTGCCCAAACTAACCAAGCCACCACTGAAACCTCAGAGAACAGTAGGTATTCAGCCTTAACCTAGTATTTAATAACAACTTAATCTATAAACAGGACTGCATTCATCCATTCCCATCTAATTATTGTTATAATATTATTATTTCAAGGTGTGACAAAGTGATCAAAATCAATCATCGAAAACATAGTTGATAACAATACTCATAGACAATAGTTGCTGATAATTTTGTTGATAAAAGTTGATAAGTACAAGATTCTCATCTCCTGTAGAGGCAGCGTAGCTGAATGATTAGGACACTGGAGTTATAATCCGGGGGGGACCCCAGATTTCAGGTGACAGGGATGATCAAATGGGGGCAAAAATCAAAACCCTAATAAAATTCCTGGACTGAAAATTAACCCCCCCCCCAAAAATCCCATGCCACATTAACCATGTTACGTTCCAGTTGGATTGTTGTTTCATATCTTGGAAAACTCCATGAGGGGTGAGAAAAATAATATTATTGTGTGTTTAATTTTTTTTTATATTCAAGTTTGGCTTTGAGAAATTGTTAATGCTGTTTTGTTCAGCTGTGCTAAAGTGCTCAATGATGTTGGGTGTTTGATGTAAAACTTGTTAATAAGGGAGAACTGGGAATAATTTATAAGACAAAGAAGAGGCCACAGCCCTGTTAGGGTAAAATTCTGACAAGTGACGTGGCTTTGAAACAGCAACATAAGACAGGGCTCAAAATTGTGACGCACTGGTAGCCAATGCAGCAAAAAATTGACGGCTGGCAACTACATTTAAGACGTGGTCGCCAAAACCAATTTTACTGTCATGCCAGTAAAATGTAGTTAATGGAACGTGACGCTAGTTATCAGTAATCCTTTCATTGCGGTTCTTCTTCAATAAAGCAGTTGTGTAGTCAAGTTGCCAAGGTCAGCAAGCTCTAAGAAACACTGTATTCTAGTGTAGAACTTTACGGCCTTGTTGTCTTTAGCAGGCTAGTATGATCCGCAGCATTAGCAAATTGTTTCAAAGCACTATTCACTGCTAAGAGTTCGAACATGCAACGCTGAACTGTCTTGTAGTACAGCCTTTCCTACTGGCTATGCCAGCAGATGTTCATCTAGCTATAAAAGCCTAGAACAACTGTTCAGAGTTCACTTGAGTTCTGTTGTTCAGCAAGGTTAGCGCCCAGCATATTATTCTTGTAAAATTTTTTCCCTCCCTCCCTCCCTTTGGAGATGAGTTTTGGGCTTTGTTTTGTGCTATGCTATCAAATAAACTAGGGACACTCCTCGGTGGTGCGGTTAAGTCTGCGCAGTGACTTCCCCCAAGCTTGTTGGCCCCATTGCCATTTAATATCGCCTGCAAACCGATACTCTTGTCCGATCCAACACGTGCTGTATTGCATTCAGCTCGTAGTGATGGGGACATAAGTGAGGTTCTTTGGTCACGCCATCGCCGGAAGTCGCACAGGCTAACCTAGCACAAGGCAGTGCTCCCCCATTGACGCCAACTTGTCTTTATTTGTTTTATAATTTAGTTACTTCGCGTTTAACATGCATCTTTAAGGAACAGAGACATAAATTGGTGATTTACCTTACTTTTCAATCAGATAACCCCTTGACCGACATTTCTTACGGTAAAATTAATGGGTTTCCCAGAAGTGAAACAAAGTAGTCACCAGCTGGTGCCCGAGGAAAAAAGTTAATTTCAAGCATTTTAAGACTGGATGAAATGGCAGCAAATGACATAAAGATGGGTTAAAATACCAACAGGGACATGGCCTACTCCTTAGCGCGGTTTTCACTTGACTGTCGAAAGGGATTGGTTTTGGTTTTGGTTTTGGTTTTACTACGCCCTTTGGTTGGCTAGTGTATTTACTTTGGTTTTGGTTTTATGACAGTCAAGTGAAAACCGCTCTAAATGTGAAACACTCATATTTGAAGTTCATACTAGGAACTTGCACTGCCCCTCCCCCCCCCCCCCCCCCCA